GGAAGCCTTGACGTCATCGATCTGATGACGTGATGCAGTGAAGAAATCGAGCGTGAAGTGTATGGGTCTCACAATTGTAGACGTTAAAATTGTAAAATCAATTTAAGCAAATGCGTGCTTTTTATCAAATAATCTTAAGAGGTTTATTAATAGTCTTCGACTGACTGTAGCGGCTCGATTATCTTAATATGCGCGTTATCTTGTAACACATAATTATTAATTCATACATAATAGCATGATACAGATCGTATTTTATATTGACACTAGCTCGTAAAAGTGCACGAAGCATTGCGCGTATACATCTGAAAATTGGATGAAACAGCAGGTTTGCCAGGCGTGTACCAAAAACTTCATTAGATTCTACGGCTTAAAACTTTTGTTTTAACCGTTCTTGGTTCCACGTCGTAAAAGGAGGGAACGCTTTATTATTCTAAAAATTCATGGAAGAAATTATTGTTACTGTTTCATATTTAATTGCTGCAGTTGCAAGTGATTACGAGCGCATTGACGTGCTTCCGCGGAAAAGTGATTCAATCCTCGGCAAACGTGGAGAAAAACAGCTCGACGATATTACGTGTGTAAATCGATGCAATCTAGATCTATAAGTAATACGAAGCGGAAACATCCTGACTTCGCCGAGTATTTAGTAATATACCATATACGACACAAATCTCGCCGAAAGGTCGAATGTTGCGATTGCGTCTCCACAAAGATTCGATTCTAAAAAATATAAGTTTGTTGTCGGGAATACGTTTTGAGTTCAATCAAAATTCCAATCGAATTAAACTAAAATTAATTCTCACGTATCTTTGCTGGTTAATTGTCTCCGCGCATAATTAAATGAGTCACTTATTGAACAGTTTTAAATCTTGCAAGATTAAAAATTTCCTACCGGATCTGATTTTTGTAATCGGTTTTACGAAATAATTACTTTCATAAATAGTTGAAAGCTTGCAGAATGGGAAAATCCTGTTTGAGTTTCCATTTAAAAATCTTTATTTTTACAATTGTTTCGTTTCAGTTATAAATTACCTTGAATAACAGCGCGACCAATATGCATTTATTACAGATTTACTTTTCATATTGATAAGAGTATCAATGACAAGCATGCTCATCACAATTACAAGATTCAGATGTACATAGACTATTCCAAATAAAAAACAATTGCGTTTTTAAGTAAAACTAAATACGAAATTATTTACCGATATCTCGATAAAATAAAAGATTTATCAAGTAGATTATAGTTTTGTTTTCTCTACAATTAGAGCGCTATCTGAATATCTTCATGGGACCATGTTGTTCAAGATCCACGTAGTATATGCGGCGATCCTGCTATAAACGGCAGGCGTCTTGGAGGCACCGCAGGACTTTGTACCGAAGGAAACGATGCCGATGAAGTAATATTTCGGAGACCCGTCCAGGCTCTCCACTTTCATCAGGGGCCCGCCGCTATCACCGCCGCAGGAATCCTGACCCGGGACGCCGCCCACGCACATCTGCTGGTTCTCCGATACATCCGCATAACTTCTGAAAGCCATCACACATCTATCCATCTCGACGACCGGCAGCTTGACCGTCTGCAAGATCGTGCTAGGCTTCGGATCATCTATCGATAACGAAAATAACTTGTAAATCTTATTAAAATCTCTAGAGATTGGAGATTTAAACCAAACAAATATGAAGCCAATTAAGGGGATCCTATAGTGGCAGTAATTACCGACATTTAGTTAAAAGCATACAACTTTTAATTGGGTTTGCAAAATTGGGTACGGAATTGCAAAATTCTTGTATAGAATTAAAGCACGCAAAAAAATGTAGAGGGCTAGGATCAATTTTACATCAAAAACGAAAAAAAATTAAAAATTTGGGCACATAGAGTTGTCACTGACGACAATATTTACTTATACAAAAATACTGCAGTTTATATATACAAAATGAGATACAAGCCCTCTAGGGAAAACATTTAAGAACAATATCATACAATTTGAACTAAGATTAAAAACCTAGAAAAAATGCTTTTAACTTTTATATGTATGCAGGTTGATACTGTTGATAGGATAAGCAGTATTGCATGCAGCGAGAAATGGCGCAGCGAACAAGGGCAGATTACTATAGTTAGACAAGGACAGATATAGAGAAAACAGGATTAAAAATATTATCGACATCGAGGAAGTTCGTCCTTCGCTACAGGATCCCTTTAATTCAACAATCACAAATCCATGAAGAACTGACATTGAATATTTATCAGAAATCATTTTGATCCACTTTTTGGAGCTTCTCCAGCTAGTAAGAAAAACGAAATAGTAAGAAAAACAAAACTATCTCTTTAACAAAAATTATCTTATTTTAAAATCAATTTTATGTACAACGTGCCAGATGGGAAAAGATACGAAACAAATATAAAATTTAAGTACTTAGCTTAGATTAGCTTAAATGCCTTACTGATATCGTAAATTCCCCAACCGGCGACTTCTGCCGTCTCGCCGATAAAGTTCTTTTTGAGGAGTTTGCCACTCATCATGCAAATTGGCCTCACGTGCTCTGTGTATAAATCATAAGGAAAGAACAGCAATTTTACTTTTGAAAGCCGCAGATGAGATCGACTGGAGTTGACTGAAGACGGATTAATTGATGAACTCACCGTTGTAAACCACTGGCTTGTTCAACCGCACTATCGCTATGTCATTCTTGTACATCGGATTGTTGTAATCCTTGTGAACAATTACTGATTCGGGCAAGAAATCCTGCACTGGCTCCGCGCAATATCCCTGCTCGCAGTCAGGATCAGTCAGGGTGTTGTGCTCGCCCAAACAAATTCCACCCACCTTGAAACTTAGATTTATGTATATTAAATAACAAAAAGTCAAATTATAGAATATAATTTATTATATTCTGTAATAATTCTCTGATAAAAAATTATTTTCTTCTAAAAGAGATAACAAATTTACGAAATCGTACAATGTCACTCTGGTGAAAAAATTTCTTATATTTTCCCAGAAATTTTATAAGAATTGAGACTTATAAAAAATTCTAAAAATATATATTTTAGATACTTTTAGAAATAATTGAATAAAAATTTTTGGAATATTTTTGTATGTACGAAAATTTCTGACAAATTGCACAAATTCTCTTATATTTATTCAAATTTTTACAAAGATATGTTGACGGGAAAAATCTGAAATACTTTATTATTATTTTGTTTCAATTTTTCTGAAAAACGTTCGTGTAAAATTTGTATTAAAAAATCTGAATAATTCTGAGCATTCGATTCTAAGAAAATCTAAAAATTTTTATAGAAATTTTAATTAATAATATAAAAAATTCAGAGATATTTTTCCACCAGGGCGCCGTCTATTTTACAAATAAAATATGAAGTTTAATGAAGAAATGTTTATTTAGTCTTTCCATCTCAAGGACTAAAAATAATTATCTTTGACTGAACGCTGAGCGCACTTGGTAATATATATATAGTAAAGGTTTTATTTCCTTACTTTTCTTTTAATTATATTTATACGTACTTTTCGGGTAGATTTACCACGCAATGGGCAGCCGTGACTATGTATTGTCGATTAATGATCGTGCCGCCACATCTGTAGCTTAATGTGCCAGGCGCGTTAGGCATGCTGTATCCTATTCTCGCGATCCAAGGATATGCGCCGAGGCTCGCATTTTTGCCGCCGATAATGCGATCGCTGTTGGAATTACCACAGTTATTGTGCTCCAACAGTGACCAGCTAGGATGTTTCGTTACATCGACTACGATAAATCATTAAATTTACTACAGCATTATGTGTTTTCGATTATAGAAATCTATTTAATATTAGAATCTTTCGATGGAGAAATTTTCCATTCCAGAAAGTTTGTTATAAATATTTTTATTTAAAAATAATAAAATAACAATTTTTCTTATTTAAAATATTCCTGGAAAATTATTCGTATTCTTTTATACAATTTATAAATTTTATACAATTTATATATTTCGTTAAAGGCAAAGCATTGAAGAATTCTTGCAGATTTTGTTTATAGTTTAGTTTAAACTATAAACTTACTTTTATTCATATAACGTACGGTTTAATCTATATCCTTTCATCATATTTAATTCCGATATTTTAGATTATGGAAGACTTACTCATGGAGAACACTATGGAAATATTGCACGAAAATACAAGCATACAAGACAGTGAGAGTCGCATTCTGTCTGAAAGCTGGAAAGCAGGCAAACAATCAAGTAAGAATTCTAATTTCATGATTGTGAAATTTTAAAAAACTAATAATGTTCTTTAGAGGCTCAGAATAATATTAAAAATTTTATTAGGCAATAAGAGCCGAACTTGATGTACAGTCGAAAAATTTATTATACAAAGTATAGTCATATATAAGTCGCAACGTTTCGACCCTTTTTGGAGTCATCCTCAGCGCATTGTCTACATTTAAAATTCGTCCGAAAATACTTCGCGTTTAACA